ACTGCTAGGAGATCAAACCAGTCCATCTTAAAGGAAATCAACCCTGAATTTTCACTGGAAGGACTGATGCTGAAGCTGAAACTCCGATACTTTGGCCACCTGATGCAAAGAGCCGACTCTTTGGAAAAGACTCTGATGCTGGGAAAGATTGAGGACAGAAGGACAAGGGGGTGCAGAGGATGAGATGGTTAGATAACATCAGTGACTCAATGGACATGAGTTTGAGCAAACTCCTGGGAGATAAGTGATGGACAGGGAAGCCTAGCGTGCTGCAGTCCATGGGGTCGAAAAGAGTCGGACATGATTTAGCAACTGAACAACAAAACCTCAATTTTTGTAATCTCATCTTGGCATTTAAAAATTTTGAAACATATAAACATTGTCAAAAAGTGGAATTGACTCAGACCTTTCTCAAACTCTGAGAAGCAAGCTGTAGTTTATAATATCCCCTAATATGCTGATTTATCCCACTTTCACCCATTTCATAATTTTTGACCCTTCGATTATATATAACTGCACTAGCCCAAGCTCTAACCTCTAACTGAGTAAGAGTCTCTGTAGATGGGGCTCAGAATTATATATACATTTTTTAACTTGCAGGTGATTTCAATGTGCAGCCTCTCAGCATCTCATTCCTCAATTTTCACAAAAATGTAGCCATTACATTTGGACCTATGACTTTAATGTTTATTGGGATATGGTTGATTTACAATGTTGTGTTAGCTTCAGGGGCACAGCAAAATGAATCTGGGCCCATGTTTTAAATTGCTTCCTTAACCTCTCCACAGGCTCCTCCCACTCAGAATGCCCAAAGTGAACCCATCTTTCCCTCTAGACCTTCCATCTACATTTCCAGAGCCAGAAAAATACAGATTCCTTCCTCCTTCTGCTCTCCACCAATAGTCATGCTCAAGTGCTCTTCATTCCTGTTCAACATTACTGGAATTCCTGCACCTCTCATTCTCACAGTTTCTCCAGCCTCTTAATTGATTGACTACCTATCACTCATTTTCCACACTGGAGCTCACCATCCTGCTTACAGATCTTTCTTTGGCTCTCTCACTGAAAACAGAAAACAAGACTTCTTTAAAGACTAAAGTATATAAAGACTTGCATGACTTGGGATTCACCTCTCTTCTTGATCCTATACTCTAGCCATTCATGTAGCTGTCCAAACTCAGGATGCTTTCCTTGATTTTGGTCCTTGAGTTTTGGTCCATGCAGCATTTTATACTGTGCTCTTCCTCTAACTCGGAACTCTCATCTCAGATACACTCTCCTAGTTGTGGAAGGCTTCTCTGACATCTTTATCCCCCCTCCCTACTCCCTATAGGCGTGTTGCCACTCTGCAGTGCCATTTATCAACCTAGATTGTAATTGTCCCTTTATCTGAGCTCGCTATCCCTGATGTATATTATGTAGCAAGTTGGAAGTCAGTGTTTAATGAATGAAGACATACTTAGCCATGTCTATCTCAGGGCCTACTGGTTTTTCAGTGCGTGTTAGTCACTCAGTCGTGCCCAACTCTTTGCGACCCCATGGACTGTAGCTCACCAGGTTCCCCTGTCCATGGAATTTTCCAGGCAAGAATACTAGAGTAGGTTGCCATGCCCCTCTCCAGGGGATTTCCCGACCCAGGGATCGAATCTGTCTCTTGTGCTGCAGGCGGATCTGCACAGTCTGAGCCAACAGGGAAGCCCAGACTCCTGGCTCTTCACTAATGTCTAAACTCACCCCACCAAGCTCCGGCGTGGCCTCCGCAAGGCTGCTTTTGGAAGACTCTGAGAGCTCTAGTTCTCACCTTGAAGGGAGCTGCGTCTGATCAGCCTGTCAGCTTCCCCTGGGGAATCAAGGTGAACCCCAATAGGAGAACTTTACCTGAAAAGACAGTAGGAAGGGAAGCCTGAGGAGACTGTAACCACCGTCTATTTTATGAACTTTGGAATGGAAAACCATGGAAGGCTTCGGGAATGCTTCCCACAGGGCAGTGCACATTCCTGGGCAAAAGCTTTATAAACCTTTATTTTTTAGTAAACCCTTTAGAAGCAAACTCTTTTAAATTTTTAGAACAGTGTTAAGAGTTTCACAAGATATATACCTTATAGTAAATACGTTCTAATGATTTTTCTACACTTCCTTTTAGGACTGTAAGTTGATTTTCATTTGTCTTGCTGAAAGTAGAGCAGATCCTTGAAATGTAGAGGTTTAATGTTTTTGTGGGACTTCAGAGGTCCCTGTGGAGAAAGAAATGGCAACCCACTCCGGTATGCTTGCCTGGCATAATCCCACAGACAGAGGAGCCTGGCGGGCTACAGTCCGTGGGATCACAAAGAGTCGGACACGACTGAGTGACTGGGCAGAGTTCCCTGACAGATGCAATAATGTATCATTTTGCTGAGTCATATATAATTTTGAATCATGAGGAAGGTAGACTCCTGGGGATCTCTGTCCCAGCCCATCATGTCACAGCAGCCCCTTAAAGGACTGAAGGAAGGATGTTGAAAGGATGGAGCTAGACAGCGTCATACTGAGTGAAGTAAGAAAGAGAAGGAGAAATATTATATGATATCTCTTACATGTAGAATCTAAAAAGAAATGATACAAATGAACTTACAAAACAGAGACTCACAGACAGCAAATGAACTTACGGTTGTGTGGGGAGCAGTGTGGGGAGGGCCAGTTAGGGAGCTTAGGATGGACATGCACACACTACTGTATTTTATTTAAAATGGATAACCAACAGGATTTATTGCACAGCACATGGAACTCTGTTGAATGTTATGTGGCAGCCTGGATGGGAGGGGATTTGGCAGGGGAAGAATGGATACATGCATATGCATGGCTGAGTCCCTCCGCTGTTCACCATCAGCTACACCCCAGCACAAAATAATACGTTAAAAAAATAAAGAAGGATATTGAAATGTTTTGGGTACATTAGACTGCCCCTATTGGAGGAAATTACACACCACCTGCTATTCAAGATTGCAGGACGCAGCTCTCACAAATGTCAGGGGTCTACTACCATGTTATAGCTGTCAGAAAAACCACTGCCGATACTTCACACCAAGCCCAGTAACGGGAATCAAGCAAATGACTTGTACCAGATAAGTGGCCTTCCCGAGAACCAGGCTCGAAAAAATAAACCCTGACAATGCAGCTGATTTTGTGGGCATGAGAGCCGTGAGAAGTGAAGGCGTCAGGAGGCCAAACTTCAAGAATGCTCCTTCCTTCAGGTAGGACTCCCCACAAGGTATTAAGCTTCTGGAAAGAGAGATACCCATTTCTTCACGATGTATAGTCCAGGAGGAGGAAATGACTTAGCTACCGGCTGCCTTCCAACCCAGTGGCTCACAGAACACAAGGTTGTAAAGGTCGCAAACTCCAGGGTTAAACAAACCCAGCTTGGAATTCCAGTGGTGTGACTAACCAATCAACTACATGACCTTGAGTAAATTAGTTTATTTTCTGAGTGTCTTTCTTCATACTCAGCGTGACAACTGTAACATGAACATCTTAAAAATTGTTGAAGTGGAAGCCAGGCAGCCTTGAGCTCTCCGATCTCAGGACCCTGGACAAAGAAACACACACTCAGCAGACAGGGGCTGCTCCTTCAGGCCAGGAATTGGCATTGCCCCCCTCGGAGGCCTCCAAGCCGCTTCCACCGCTTTGCCCACTTTCTCCCCTCCTTGAACTTTGCAGAGAAAAACTAAACTAGCATTTTCAGTGTCCTCACGTCTTTCCAAGGTCTTCCAATCACCTCTCAGTTGCTTATGTTCAAAACATAGAATTTGAATCCCTGCGTGGGATTTAAATGGGCAGGTGAAATTAAGTTCAGTCAAACATCTGGAAATCCATGCCCAGTTTTTCTCGCAGTTTCTCATGAAGATCAAGTTCCCCAACTCCCAAAAAACAAATCACCGTGGGGCCAGTTCTCCACCTCTTCCCGCCGCCTCCTACTCAGTAGAAGTGAATCAGACAAACAATCTGACTTTTTAAAAATTATTTAATTTAGTAGTTTTCTTGGAAAAAAAAAATTCAATAAGGCAAAAAAAACCTGAAAATATATATAGTTTTGTTTTGCTTCCGTGTGACTTTATTTCACCGGAAGGACTCGAAGCCTCTTCCTTGAGCAGGAATCTGAGGATCAGGCTGGAAACGTAGTGCAGATGGAGGAGGAGGCAGGGGGTGGGGGGACAGAGCAGGGAGTTCAGTCCCACCGGCCGAAGCACCCACCCCAGGAGCGGGTCACTGCTTCCGTGGGGCTCCCTGAAGGCGGCAGCCCCGCCGGAACCCCTCGCTCGTGCTGGGAAGCGAGTCCCCGGAGGCAGCTCCCCACGGCCACCAGGGAGGGCAGGCGGGGAAGGAGCAGGCCTGGTTTCCCGGCAGAAATCCAGTTTCCCTGCGGGGACGGCTTCCCCTGGAATGATTCCCCGCAAGGACCCACGCTGGCTGAGGCTCGGCAGTTAAGGAGCAGAAACAGAGAACACCAACGAACAGCAGACAAGGAAGGCACCTCGATTTGTGATCCTCAACCACGGGTGGGCGGCACGGGGTCAGATTTCTGACCAAAGACAACTGAAACAAAACAAATACGGAAAAAAGAAGGAAATCTGGGCCAGACAGGAGCGGTTCTCTTACCAGCCCCGGTTCCCAGGAAGGAGGATCAGCTATGCGGCGGCGCTGCGCTTAGGCAGAGGCAGGCTGCAGCCGCAAACGCCCCTCCTGCCCGACTACCCACACTCTCCCCAGTGGAGGAGGACAGAACGCTGGGCAAAGGGGCAGGGCTTCGTCCTCCAGAGTCGGGTGAGAAGAGCGGAGCTGAGACAGGAGTGGGCGCCCAGGATGCGACCCGCAGACACAGACCCTGCCGGGTGACAGCGGGACGTGTCCGCTCAAGAGGGCTCCCATCCGCACTAGTGTGTCCGAGAGTCCCTGGGGCACAAGTGAGATCGGAGAGCAAGATTCTTAACGGGAGGGAGGGAAATCAAACAGAAAATTCGGACTTTTCTCTACATATATATAATATACAGGTATTTAACACGCTATTCCAGAAGTGGCTTCAGTCCGTGGGTTCTGAGAAATGGTGAAAACTCACTCGGAATAAACGCTTCCTCTCAGATTCTGAAGTGTGGCAGAATGGGGCAGGTAATGCTTTGTTCCTGGAGGCAGAAACCTGAGCGGGTACTGTGCCCAGAGATGGAGAGAGAGCGAGAGAAGAAGACAGGAGAGGGGAGCAGAAGGCGGCGGGGACGGTGGGGTGAGGGGGCGGGAGAGCGCGGCGGCCAGCCGTGTCCACACGGCCTCGTGCTCCGGGTTCTCCGAAGCGCTCTGCCTGAGCGAGTCCGTGAAGTCCCCTGTGAGGACAAGGCGACCCTCCTGCGACGCCCGAGCGGCCTCAGCAGAGGTGGAGAACAGCAGCGGGGTGTGCTAACAAGCGAAGACACTGCCAAGCATGATCTCTGCGCTTCCCGGTCCTGCAGACGAGCCCCTCGCGGGCGCCTCGTGCGGCCCGGCCGTCTCCTGGGCTGTGCCCCGGCTCCACCACGGCGCTCACGATGCTCCGTGGCCAAGTCTGAACGTGTTTCTTTTTCGAGGGAACCTCTATGATCAGCTCGTGCTGCACAGGGCCTGGCTGAGCGTCTGCTCCGGGGGGGTGGGGGGTGGTGAGGGCCAGCATCTCGGGGGTTGGGTGGGGCCCCCGACTCCGGAGAAGTGGGGGGGCGCCTCCCCGACAAGCACGCGGGGTCCAGAATGTTGATTTCAGGGTCAATCAGCTAAGGCAACCAGCCAATCACGACCAACCGGGTCTGCTTCTGGTGACTGATTCGGAACAAGAAGTGATTGGTTAAGACAGACGAGCTCGGGCAGGCGGCGCCGGCAGCAGTCCGCGGGCTCCTCCTCCTCGGCGGCTCCTTCAGAAGATGTCGGGGCACGAGTCCCAGTCCTGCCGCTCCTTGCACTCCCAGTAGCCGCCGCGGTAGATGTGCGTCAGCTCCCGGGTCACCGGGTCCTTCCTGCGCTCGAACCACAGAGCCTTGTAGGGGTCGTGGGCCGTGCCTGTCGGGCAGCAGGCAGGGAGGCGGGATCAGGGCCATGGGCTGCGGGCGCCTCCCTCAACCGGGGTGCAGACACACGGGCGTGTCCCTCAAACGGGGCGCAGACACGGGGGTGCATCCCTCAACCGGGGAGCGGACACGGGGGCGCATCCCTCAACCGGAGCGCAGACACACGGGCGCCTCCCTCAACCTGGGCGCGGACACGGGGCCGCATCCCTCAACCGGGGAGCGGACACGGGGGCCTGTCCCTCATCGTGGCGCGGACACGGGGGCGCCTCCCTCAACCGGGGCACAGACATGCCGGCCTGTCCCTCACCCGGGGCGCGGACACAGGGGCGCATCCCTCAACCAGGGAGCAGACACGTGGGCCTGTCCCTCAACCGGGGCACGGACACGCGGCAGAAGCACCCTTACCGTCCTCCGTGGCCCTCACGGCCTCGGCCTCGCGCTTCTTCCTCGCAAGCCGCTGCTTCTCCTCCAGGCGCTGCTTCTCCGCGTTCGCCTCGTCCCAGCGCCCGTTCTCCATCAGCCTCTGGTCAGGCCGCAGCCGGCTGTCCGTGGGCGCGGTGCCGGCCTCCCAGGCGTTGAGGGTCAGAGCCAGCTCGGAGAAGTAGTACATGTTCTCCGCGTTCTTCCTGCAAGGCAGGGGTCAGGAAGGGACGGGCACCGCCAGAGCCCAGAGCCCCGTGAGCTGAGCTCACGCCACAGATACAGCCCCCAAGTCTCTAGAGTCTGTGGGTGCGCCTAATTAAGAGACCTGGCGGACCCGTCCCCTCCCAGGACACTGCCCACCCTCCCCTCAGGGCCCCCCACCTGGATGGTTTCCTGGGTGTGGGATATACTCAGTTGAAATTAGGAAGACTTAAACATTCTACTAAATAAAACTTCAAATTTGTTTCCTTTTACTTTTTACTACTTTCTGGGATAACCTTGGCTATCACTAGGACTGAAATTAAATGACGACAGCAGACAGTCTCCGCCTTAATTATTTCCAAAGTCCTGGACATTGTCTCACGGACCATCACATCGCCATGAGCCTTTAGGCCATAGGTAGTAGGCAGCTTTCTCCCTTGGCCCTTTCTGAACAGTTTTGCTCTAAATTACAGAAGAATATTCTTCTGAATCACAACCCGAATAACTGCTCTGGTGTGTGCATGCTCAGTCGTCGGGTCTGACTGTGACCCCATGGACTGCAGTCTGCCAGGCTCTTCTGTCCATGGGACTTCCCAGGAAAGAAAATACTGGAGTGGGATGCCATTTCCTTGTCCACGAAAGGAACTTTAGGAGACACCAAATCATTTTGGTCTGAGTCATTCGAACTCTCCTGGGACAAGGCGCGCAACAACCCCACCCCCACAGGGCCGCCTTTCGGTCCTCTGCCAGCGCTGGTCCGCGAAGACAAGCGGGAGGGCAGGGGAGGGACGCCGCCGCGGCGATACTCACGGTAGAGGGTTCCGCTTCCAGAGCAGCACCCTGCTCTCCTCTGCGTCATGGCCGCGCTGCCGGGCGTCACCCCCGTTCTCCCCGGGGACCGGCTGTGATTTGAAGCAGTCCATTTTCTCATCCCATGTGCCCAGCAGCACGAAGTGAACTCTGCCCGACGGGTCGGTCACCTCCCCTGTCACCTAGGGGTGGAGAGCAGGCTCGGGAGCACGGCGGCAGTGGGGGTGCGCCCCAGACGCCCGGCCCTGGGGCAGGCTGCTTGCACCCCGCTGCAGACTCGGGGAGCTGCTGGACTTACTCCGTGGGAATGTGCTTGAACTGCTCAAAGGGACAGCGTCATGAATGGGGGCTTCGTTACCATTTTGTGGTACAGGGCTTTTTGTCCTAACGATGTACACAGGAGAAAGGTCTGACAGTACTCGGGATTATGTTGTGTTCTTCTCCCCAGAAATCAGAGAGACCACAGACGGACCTGTTCACTCTCCCAACACAACTCCCGGCACAATTCCGCTGTGCTGGTAACAGAAGCCTCGCTCAGACTTCACAGGGGCCGCACCACCTGTGCCTTCTTCCTGCAGTCCCCTCCTCAGTCCTGCCACAGCGGTTCCCATTTTCAGTCTCTCCTGGTTCTGTATGTCTGTCTGTTTGCTACATTCACTCAGTTTGCAGGATCCTAGTTCCCCGACCAGGGAGCGAACCTGGGCCCACAGCAGTGAGCGCACCCTCGGCACTGGGCCAATCCTACTCCCTCGCTGCTCTTGACTCACTTTCTAACTTACTGCCTTTCACTGAGGTTCTCCTTTACCTCTCCGCTTTTGAGCGCACACACATCCATCTATGCCAGCTGCAAGGGAGCAGACTTTCTGCAGGACACACACTAGGTGAACAACACTTTAATCCCAACTTCTTACCTTTCTCGCGACGTCCCGAGAGAAGTAGCTATAAGGAACAAACTTAAGATTGCACTTGTCCCCTGTCTTGTGGTTCACGATGTCAATCTCACCAGACTATGAAAAGAACAGAACCATGGACTGTTTTATTAAGACTGAATGACCTGGATATAAGCTAAGCCCCACGCCTCATAATTCTTTTCTTTTCAGTCTTATGTTCTTGCACTCCTACACTTAAGATTCAGGTCTCAGTCATTCTTGAGATGCTGTAAAATGCTTTTATCATCTTGGTATTCCTGGTTGGAATCAAGGCCAAATGACCTTTTTTAAAAAAGCGTGTGCCGCGTGAGGTGGCGTAATTCAGCCTTTGGCATGCACGCTGACATTCACGCTATAATTTACCTTCCCAAACTGATCCTCCACTCGTACCCTTATGAACTCCGTGCTTAAATCAAAGGGCTCCACTCCCAGCTTCAAGACTACACGTGGTGGGCCTTTCTGTATTTTATTCATTTCACTCTCTCCTCCTTTCCATCTTGTGAACCCCAATCCACTCGTGAAGACTCAGCTTCATTTCCACACCTACTGTGAAGCCTCTCCCACTGTTCGGACAATATTCCCTTTTTTTCTAAATTTACTGCAACCATTGTCTTAAGAGCAAATTGAAAATGAATTAGATATTATCTTAGCACACCTCTTATGCGGGTCGTTTTGCCAAATACTTTTCATTCTACGCATATTTGTCCTAAGTCTCCAATGATAAAATAACTCTTGAGGGACAATGCCCCATCTGACTTGGTACCCCAAAGACCCCAGGCTCCACCCGCCAATAAATGCGTGATGTGCAAGGAGAGGACAGAGGGTGGGAGCCGTGCTTATCACTTTCTTGGAGCCTTCCTGGCGCCTGACAGTCCTAGGAGAGCAGTCACCCATGAATGTGAAAACTTCGTCATTTACAGACAATAATCTGTGGTACAAGAAGTCGGCAGTTTGGGAGTGTGGTTACTGCCTGAGAGGAACTGCTTTGGTGAAACTGAGAAACCAGGAACGGCAGCCAGGGTCCAGGCCACGCATCCTGAACACTTTGAAGATGGACGAAAGGACTCTTCTGAGCTTCAGAAGCGCCGAGAGGCCCTTTGCTCACCTGGTCAATCCACAACTTGCCCACGATGATGTTGTGCACTGTTGTAGTCACTTTCTTCCAAGTGTAGTGGTGCCCAGTTGCATGGAAAATACAGTGGATGCTACCTAGAAGCAGAGAGCGGCACACATATTAAGCTGAACGTTAGAAAAACAGCACCATGCTGGCTGGAAACAATGATGGATTGATTTTATTCTACCAATATTTCTTACTTTTAAAAAGAAATCAGTACGTCAGAAAGGACTTACAATCTTTACAAATGTTGGAAGTACCAAATTTTTTACTTGATTTTTAAATTTGTTAAATATGAATAAAATATAATTAATGATGATGAACACCGACAAATGATACAGCTTAATTGAGAAATAATATTCTGCAACAGTAGAAATAAAAATGAAAGCAAAAACCCCAGACTTTTCACTAACTATGCCTGCCATACTAGCAGCAAAATTAACAACAGGTAAAATCTACCCCAACATGAAAAAAAAAATCTGCCTTGAGGAAAAGAGCACGTTGGTGGTCAGTATTGAGGAGAAGCCCCAGTGTGAGTAACTAGCTATGTGACCTTAAGCAAGTCACCGGTCCATACATGGACCTTTTTAAAAAATAATCCTTTAGCATTTTTTTTTTTAGTCTTTACTGCATCTGTTACAAAACTGCTTCTGCTTTATGTTCTGGTCTTTTGGCCTAGAGGCATGTGGGATCTTAGCTGCCGGACCAGGACTGAACCCGCAACCACTGCACTAGAAGGCCAAGTTTTAACCACTGGGCCATTAGGGAAGTCCCTACTTTTGAGCCTTAGTAGAAAAAAAAAAATAAAGAGGAATAGTGGATAGACCAAGGGCTCTAGAATCAGAAAGAACTGGTTCACTGGCTGTACAACTCATTGGATGTGTAAGCCTGTGTCGTACAATAAAGAATTTGTCTGGTCTTTGTCCAGCACTTAAGCCCTTGCAGTTTCCCCAGTGACAGTGTTGTCTCTGTTACTCGTGAGGGCCCTGGAGGTGTCTGCCAGTGCGGTGCCTCAGCTGGGCCCCTGGACAGCTTACGGTGAGGGCAGGGGAGAAACACCCACCGTGTCATCAGAGAGCAGGAGCCATACTCCCCTCCTTCCAAAGAGGGAAGGAGGCAGGACACTGAATCCAATCACGTGGCCAAAGATTCAGTCAACTGTTTCCTTCCAGCGGAAACCCCAGTAGGCTCTCCAGACAACGAAGCGTGGTGGGGCTTCTAGGAGGTGAAACACATCCATGTTCCGGAAGCTGCGGCCCTCATCTCACGGGGAGGGGACAGAAACTCAGGCCAGGGTCCTCCCGAGCCTGCTTCCCTGCGTCTCTCCACTGGCAGGTCCTGACTTTATAGCTCTCACCAGTAAGTCTCGGTGAACACCAAACCAAAATCAGGGGTTTGAATGGGAGATTCAAAATAATTTAAAAAATCTCAGAAGACATATATAGTTTTTTCAAAGATTTTTTTTTTCGATGTGGACCTTTCTCCCCCAAGTCTTTATTGAATGCATTACAACACTGCTTCTGTTTTATGGATCTTTGGCTCTGAGGCACAGGGGAGGTCCCTGACCAGGGACTGAACCCAAACAGCCTAAACTGGAAGATGAAGTCTTAACCACTGGACCGCCAAGGACATCCCAAGACACACATTACATGTTTTAGTTCCTTCCGGGTCACGGTCCGGGAGCACTGATGAAAGGAGCAGTGTGCGTGGCTCAGGGATGTCCTCCTTGTGCAGAAGGCCGCAGCGGGCACGCCCACAGGCAGCAACGCTGACGGCAGCAGTGGCAGTCGGCGCAGTCCGTGTGCTTGCACCAGACACTGCACCTCTCCCCGCCACCCCCTCCCCCCCAAGCTGGCCTCCCAAGTGTCTTCAGAAACATCTCCTCTGCCCACGGCAGCCAACAGTCCTGCCTTCCCTCCGCCACCGCAGTTGCGGCCCCAGCAGCACTGGCCTGGACCCCTCCTTGGCCTCCCAGCGTCCATGTTGGCCCTCCTGAAGTCTCTAGGCAAAATGATCTGTCTAAATATACCACGTCAACTTTCCACACCATAGAATCCCTCAGTTCCTCCCACTGCAGTGAGAGGAAGACTCAACTCCTTTCCGTAGAATACAAGACCCTCAAGAGCCGCCCCAGAGCCCCGAAACGAGCCGCGGTGGCCTTACCGCTGCTCACGCATGCTATGCTTGCTCGGGGCCCTCGGCTCTGGGCTCTCTCTGCCTGGAACACACTCCCCCAGGTCGTCTCCTGGTTCTGGTTCCCTGTGTCCTCAGGTCTCAGGTCAGATGTAACCTTCTCAGAGAATCTCCCGACTCCCCCAGCCAGGGAGACGCCACCCCCTGCCTTCCTCCACCACTACCCCCAGCCCCCACTCACTCTAGTTTCTTCACGGGACTACCACTATCTAAAATTAGAGTATTTATTTACTTTTTGTCTACTTAAGAAAAGAATGCAAGCTAAATGAGGACAAAGTGGCTTTTGTTCACCATCGTACACCTACCTAGGATAGTTGCCGGCAGATAGTGGGCACTCAAATCCCTGCTGATACCTTAGCTGGCAGGCATCGTTAACCCCTATATCTTCTTCCTACTGCTGCTGGAACCAACTGCAACAAACTCCGCAGCTTAAAATAACACAGCTTACTCTTTTAAAGTTCTGAAGGCAGAATCTAAAACCCAGGTGTCAAAGGAGGCAACAATAAACAAAGGGGCAAAGACAGCCTCTGCAGCAAGCAGCGCTGGGAGAGCTGGACGGCAACATGCAAAAGAATGGAATTAGAACACTTCCTAACGCCACACACAGAGATAAACCCAAAGTGGATTAAAGACCTAAATGTAAGACCAGAAACTAAAACTCCTAGAGGAAAACAAAGGCAGAACCACTCGATGACAAATCACAGCAAGATCCTCTATGACCCACGTCCTAGAGTAATGGAAATAACACCAGAAAAACAAACAACCCAATCAGAAAATGGGGAAAAGACCTAAACAGACAATTCTCCAAAGAAGACATACAGATGGCAAACAAACACATGAAAAGATGCTCAACATCACTCATTACCAGAGAAATGCAAATCAAAATTACAATGAGATAACACCTCACACCAGTCAGAATGGCCATCATCAAAAAGTCTACAAACAATAAATGCTGGAGAGGATGCGGGGAAAAGGGAATGAACGCTGTTGCACTGTTGGTAGGAATGTAAATTGATATAGCCACTATGAAGAACAGTGTGGAGATTCCTTAAAAAACTAGGAATAAAACCACCATGTGATCCAGCAATCCCACTCCTAGGCATATACCCCAAGGAAACCAAAACTGAAAAAGACATGTATGTCAATACTCATTGCAGCACTACATACAAGAGCTAGGACGTGACTTCCCTGCTGGCTCTGATGGTTAAGAGTCTGCCTGCAGTGCTAGAGACCCAGGTTCAATCCCTGGGTTGGAAAAATCCCCTGGAGAAGGAAATGGCAACGCACTCCAGTATTCTTTTGTTGAGTTAATTCAGTCGTGCCCAACTCTTTGTGACCCCGTGGACTGACGCCCACTAGGGTCCTCTGTCCATGAGATGTTCCTGGCAAGGATACTGGAGTGTCCTTGGATACTGGAGGAGAGGGTGGGGCGTCTGCAGAGAGCGACCCGGAAACACACCCCCCCCATGTGTAGAACAGACGGAAATGAGGATCTGCTGTAGGACTCGGGGGACTCAACTCAACCTCCGGGGCTGAGATGGGAGGGAGATGGGAGGGAGGCTCCAGAGGGCGGGGATGCATGTGTACCTGCGGCTGACTCCTGGTGATGTCTGGCAGAAACCAACACAATTCTGTAAAGCAGTTATCCTTCAATTAAAAATAAATTTAAAGTTAAAAAAAAAAAACCAATCAGGTGCCGGCAGGGGCATGTCCTTATGACATCTCTAGGGGAGAATCTATCACCGTGTTTCTTCCAGCTGCCAGAGGCCACCTGCGTTCTTTGGTTTCCAAGGATCACTCACATCTCTTGCTTCTGTTGTCACCGACTGACCTTCAGCCTCTCTCTAATAAATACCCTGTGATTATATCAGGCCCAGAGAAAAATCCGGACCATCTCCCCATCTCCAGGTGGTGATAATAGGTAGAGCACTTGAAGAAATAATGGCCAAAAATTCCCCAAGTTTGATGAAAAATACTCATCTACACATCCAAGTAGTCCACTGAATGCCAAGCAGGATCAACTCAAAGAGCAAGACATACAAACCCACCACAATCAAATTAGAAAGACAGCGTCAAAGAGAATCGGAAAAGCCCAAAAGGAACCGAGGAGTGACCGCATCACAGGCAAGCGATCCGCAGAGACCATGGGGGCAGAGGCAGTGGGAGCACATAATCAAGAGACTGAAGGACAAAGACCGTCAAGCCCAAAAGTCCATGTCCAGCAAAACCGTCCTTCATAGACAAAGGAGAATTCAAGACACTCCCAGAAAAACAAAACCTGAAAGAATTCATCGTCAGCAGATCTCACCTTCAAGAAATACTCCAGGAAGCCCTTCAGGCTGAAGTGAAAAGACACTAGACACTGACTTAAATCACCTTAAGAAATGAAGAGACCAGTGAGTCCTCAGGCGCGTATGCCTCTTTGCAGCCCCATGGACTGTCGCCCACCAAGCTCCTCTGTCCATGGAATTCTCCAGGCCAGAACACTGAAGTGTGTAGTCATTCCCTTCTCCAGGGGATCTTCTGGACCCAGGGACTGAATTTGGGTCTGCCGCATTACAGGCAGATTCTTTATCATCTGAGCCACCATTAAAAGACAATTATGTTATAAAACGTCAATGGAATTACAATGCAGAAAAATGGTTTGTATGACAATAAAAGCACAAAGGAGGGAGAACGTAATGGATCCATACAAGGGCAAAGTTTCTATATATTATAGAAATTCAGTTGTATTAATCTGAACTAGATTATTAGAAGGTTTTAATACCCAGGGTAACCACAACAAAAATATCTTTAAAAATCACAGTAAAAGAAATAAGGGAATTAAAATGGTAAACTAGAAAACTACCTATTATTATAATACAAAGAAAGAACTAATGGACAAACAGAGGAACAAAAAAGACCTAAGATGTACAGAAAGAAGATACCAAAATGGCAGATGTAAACCCTAACTAATCAATCAGTAATTATAATAAATATAGATGGATTAATCGCTCTAAGCAAAAAGCAGAACTGGAAAAATGGATAAAATGCATAAGGAGGAATTTTGACCACAGTGCGGACTAGAGCAAACTCAAGGCACATAGAGGCCGGCGGTCACCGCACAGACCAGTGGGCTGAGTGTGGTTTCATCCAGCCTCAGACGGTGACTCTTCTCAGGTTTGAGAACTCCAACTGTGAAAGAATAGTCTTATTTAAACGCATCTCTTTAAACTGCCAAGTTGCCACTCAATTCCAAAGTGAGTGGATGAGTAAACTCTTATCTATCCTCTACTACAGTCTTCACAATTTTGCAAACATCAATTACATTTCCTAGAAGCATTCTTTTTTCCAGATTGCAAGAATTCTAACCTGATTCAGTCTATTTTACAAGAAGACTCAGACTTCTATCTGCCTCACTTATAACCCTGTCTGTACCTCTTTCACCAGTGACATCTATCAGCTTAACGACTTACCCTCTGAGAGGTGAACATCCCTGAATACGTGAAAATTAAATTGCGTGACTCTCCTTCCAAGTCACAGATGCAAAAATGTTAAATACAACCATCCCCAGGACTAACATCTGGAAATCCCTCTTTGTATCTCTGTATTCAGATTCCTGTCACGTCAATTCTTTGTTCAATTTCCCTACAAAGGCAGAGATCTCTGCTTTGTTCACTTATATTTTCCCAAACATCTTGGAACTACATCTAGTATGTGGTAGATACACTCAATATCGAATCCTTAAAAAACCATAGGAATGGAATCCAAACAAAATTTTTTTCAACTCTTTAAAAATTGGATCCACCACTTTTATCATGTTCCTATAGTTATTTACCCCTTAAAGAATTTGAGATTAGTCAAATTACAGAGAAAATGTTCAGCAGATCAGTGGTAATTTGGGTCTACTGCTCTTTTTAAAGTGCATACCCTCTCAGAATTAGATACATATAATCCACCCCTTCAGTGATCCTCAGGGTGCTCTGAAACTCTTCTGCATGGATGAATTTACACAGCAACATAACCACTGACACTCAGGTTTGCAGATTAGGAGTGGACATTTCAAGTGTTTACTACTCTCAACCTAACACACTTCTGAAACTATTCGCTTCAAAGACAGTTAAGCAATTAGAACCTTTTTACAGGTTCTCAGGAAAAGATCAAGACTGAAATCACTTAGTCTCCTTTTCACCTTGGGGTCTCTTGCATACTAATCATGAAGCAATCAAGTTAACACTTCAGTTTCACTTCCAACATCTCTGGATCTTTTTCTCATGTCTGGCTTGCACTGTACCTGTCACACGGTGTGTTTCCTGAGAGAAAGCGGGCGGAGTAGAGCAGAAGGCCGTCCTGCAGCAGCCCAGCCCTGCAGCTCTGCCCCCTGAAAGATGGAAACCCAGAAAGGGAAAGGCACACGGAGCTCAGGCACCTACTGCCAGCTGTCTCCAGGCGACCTGGCCTCTCCATCTGCTCTGGGTTTCTTTTCCTGCAGACCAGCATTCCCTCTCAGACACATACAGGGTCAAACGTGGCTGCTCTTGCTGAACTATGCTACACTATTTGAATAACTGCTTTTCACCTGAAGCACAGACATGCTAACACGGCATACTAGGATTCCTATTCCCAGGCTGGATCCTTTAGGTCTTGGTGCAAAATTAACATGTAATCCAGTAAGATCTTTTAAAACAAAGTTTCACCTTACCTGGAGCTTACCCCTTACATAAGCGATACCTAACCCCTCTGATGGAGGGAGGGGGAGGGGCTGCCAGGAAACCTAACCTTGCAGCCACAGGAGTTCTGGTCTGTGGAGAGAAACTGCCTGCTAGGGAAGGAGGGGCAACACCACCAGTTTAAAGACAGAACTTTTAAAGTGCACGCTGAGATGCATATCCTAAAATAGTACTTAAAAGTAAAAGGAAGTGTCACAGTGTTAGTCACACAGTCCTGTCCAACTCTCTGCGACCCGATGGACTCCTCAGTCCATGGGACCCTCGGTGCAAGAACACTGGAGTGGGCCGCCACTCCCCTCTCCAGCAGGTCTTTAGACCAGGGAGCAGACCTGCTCCCCTGCACTGCGGGCAGCGTCTTTACCATCAGAGCCACCAGGGGAGCCCCCCAATAAAGACGCATTAGACGTGAGCTGAGAAGACAAAGAACCTGTGACTGAGCGGGTCCCTGAACAGTCTCTCAGCCCTCCTTCACCCCACGGCCGAGAAGTTACGTGACCTGCAGAGCTGGCTCCCAAGTTCAGTACCCGAACCAGGCCTCCAGGCTCCCGGCTCCAGAACCAGCAACCTCCTCTGTCCCGCCAGAACGGCTTTCCTTCCTGGAGCACCAACCCTCACCCAGGTGCTGGCCTTACCGAGGGGCATAATGGAGAGGTATTTGCCGCGGAACTTGCTGGTGATCTTGATCTCCTGCCGCAGTGTCCAGCCGTTTCTGGACTCAGCGTGGTGTGCAGCCGCTGGGGGGTGGTGGCTCACCTGGGAGAGACAGGGAGCGCCAGTGAAAAGGCAGGAAGGGGAAGAGATTCCCGCCGGACGCCGCCCGCCCGCAGCACTAGGCGAGCATCAGGGCCTCCGTGGCTGACGTCCTGAAGGAAAGGAAGGCAGCCTGGGGTGGCGGCGTCGGGGATGTCTACAAACGCTATCGCCCAGGGTGGGGAGCGACCCCCAAGTCCCCTCCTCCTCAAGCAGGACGCGTGCCACGGTCCTGAGGCTGCCTCACCTGCTCACAGAGGGATCGGTAGCCACTCTCCTCTAACCGGTCCAGCTCAAAGGTCTCCCCAAGGAGTGGGTTGAATGGCTTGCTGGTACGGAAGACAGTAGTGGAGTAGGAGGACACGGTGAAAGCTGCAACATAACAGAGCTGTTCTAGAGAGTTCTCACACTTGGCAGCCCGGTCTAACAGCTCATGGTACTCCAGGTCTTCAGTGAGGCGCTGAAGCATGGATAAGGGCTCGTTAAAGTTCACCTGTCAGGAAAAGAGCAGATGTAAACGCCTTGCCCACACAGCCACACCAGACCATTTCTTCTTTTTTTCCCCACAGGTGGAGACACACACTGAGATATCAAGACATCTCAGATATAGCGGATCCTTGGGAAAAAAAGCCTGTGCTCAGTGGAGACGCTCTAAGCTCTGACCCCAACAACAGCCCGTTCTCCGCGGTGAGCTGCTTGTGTCTGGGACTGCGGAAATCTCCACCTGCACTGATTTGCTAACTGAAAGCTGAGATAGGAACCATGCCTCTTCTGCTCAGCATTGCATATCCACGACGCCTGTCACCAAACAGGCATCGAATGAGTGAATGAAAGGGGAACGGACGTGGCACCAGGACACCCAGAGAGGAGGCTGGGCGTGGAACCCTTCTGAGGAGGAGAGGAAGGCTAGCAGAGTCCAGGAGGGGGCAGTCCTGACGGGAGCAGGCTGCAGGGGCCAGCTTCCCTCCACATTGGGCCACCACTGGTCTCAGTCCAGGGCCCCATCAGGCCAGGGTGCTGCCTCCTTCTCTGAGGCTGCACCGCTGTGTTTCTGGCCCAGGAGTGTTCGCTCCGGGGGCAGAGACAGGGCTCCCGTCTTCAAATTTAGAGCCAACTTGAAGGCACACGACTACAGGATGAAGCGAGCATGTGTCTGTGTGTGCCTCTCTTGGGGAGAAGGTGCCCACTCAGGCCACAAATTCACGGGTGCCAGGCCCTGTACAACCCATCGGGGGCAGAGAAGTCAAAAGAGGAGACTGTTCTCCCTCACCCCCAAAGAGTCAGCTTCTAAGTTGACTATTTGGAACGTATGATGACTTTACTATTTTATTATCAAAAGAGGTTAGGTTCCCAGGTTGTTCCGAGGTTGGCTGCTGTTTAATCAGCAGCCCAGCTAAACAAGCCTGAATATCAGCAGCTCGAGTTCTGAGTCCAGAGAAGAGAAGAAGGAAGAAAAAACCACCCTCTGTACTGAATGAAGCTGACAGAAAGCAACATTTTGGTTACTGAAACAAGCAAAAACAACACTTTTCTTTCCTAGAGTCCTATCTCTTTTCCTGTCTTTTTCTGCATTTTTACCCAACCTCCTGCCCGTCAATCTCTATGAGTCATATATTACCCTAATATTTACTGTCTTCCCAATTATGAAATATCTTGTAATTTCTGCTTTAACACTTTGGAGAAACAAAGTTAAAAGGAAAAAAAAATCTACTTGAAATACCATCACCCAAAGATAACCATCCTTAGTAGTTTCCATATTTTTTCTATGCATTTATATATTTTTTAAAAGGGCCTGTTTTTTCTGAGAAATAAGCCAAGCATTTCCCTGTGAAAACTTCCCAATGGGGAAGGATGATCTACCACGCCTCAACTAGAACAGTCTTCAAGTAGAGGACTCCACCACCACCTGTCCATGGAGAGAAGAGCTATATGATGAGGAAAATGCACATGGAGGGGAAATGGATGGACAGAACGCAAATCCTCCAGGTCTTTCACAAGCGGGCACTTGTCAACCATGCGGACAACACCTCTCAGGGGCCGAGCTGCAGCCACCAGGCAGTAACAGTTCCATACGCTTCGGGGAAAGTGGGGCGTGGATACGCTCCGCTGGCGGCCACGTACAGATCAGCCTGCCGGCGGGTCATCACTACTCATCACACCACATGGCCCTGCCCCCAAGAGCTGTGCCAGGACCCACAGCGTCTCCGAGAGTGGGCAGGCTTTTCCTACTGGTCTTTTTTACCACTCAGAGGGCTCACTGGGGTCAGAGAAATCTGAGACTTCAAAGTGGAAGGGAGCGGGCATTAGTGACATGGCTGACGGAGCGCGGGGCAGCCTAAGAGACAGCCTGGAGACGAGCAGCAGCAGGAAGTCGCCAGCGTTGGCAGGCTGCAGGGACCGAGGGCCACATGGGGTCACTGCACACAGAGGCCACAGGCCCGGGCAGGAGCTGAGGCCGCTGGGCCCATCCGGCAGGAGTGCGGCCCAGGATGCAGCTGCGGGGAGCACCCCGGAGCGGCTCCCTCCTCCCGCCCACTCCAGATGCCTTCTGGGGCCTCGCCTGGGGCCCCAGCACAGCCCGCAGACAGACAGAGAAGCCGCCCGGGGGCTCAGCCTCCTGTGAGCCAGCACAGGCGGGCGAGGGGCGAGGGGCGAGGGGCGAGGGGCAAGCGCCGGGCAGCGTCAGCGTCAGCAGGAACCGACAGGGACAGGGGTCACGGGGACACAGACGCTCCTCTGAGCAGGAACTGAATCTCCACGGCGATGACTGGCCTTTCCAGCCCCCTTTCCTACCACTTTCTTAGGGCGCTGGGCCAAAAGAGTGAGGCTTCTTTTTCAGACCCCCTGCCCCACCCCATGAACCAATCATTTTACGTTTCTCTCCTGTGCCTACTCACAGTCCCTCCGGTCTGGAGAGGAGTCTTTTTCTACCAAAATCCTACACGCTCATATACAAACCTATTTATTTTCCAAGACTCACATTTGCTGCACGATATGTATCTACCAGGCCCTGGCTACACACCAAAGGTATGAAGACTAGTAAAGTGGTCTGCGCAGAATGCCATCCACGGGAGGCACAACCGCTCACTCTCCGTACGCCCCGAGCGGCCGGGAGCCTCTGTCTCCTGACAGCACGAGGGCAGAACCTGCAGCACCCCCACTCCACTCTCCCTTCATCCACAGGCAGCAGAGTCCCCAGGTGTCATACTGGCCACGGCACCAGAAACAGAAGTCGTGATCCCTAGCGAGCTGAGGACCTGAGTTCTGAGGACATAAAGAGACTGAAGGGGTGGTTCATGCACTTTTCAGGAAGCACCCAGAAAAGGCAGGTGTGCCCTCTCCTCGCTCCCCGAGGGCCTGGGCTGCAGCGGCCCCCCGCACCCAGGAACCGAGGCCACGGGGCAGGACCACAGGCCGGGGGAGCCTGGTCACGTCAGCAAGAGCATTGACCAGAACCCGACCACCTGTTGCTGGATTCCAGCGTGATGGTGACTGAAGCTGTGTTTGTGGGCCAGCTTTTTCTGTGAAAGGCCAGACTGTAAATATTTGGGCTTTGAGGGCCAGATGGCCTCTGTCACACCTACTCAGCACTGCTGTTCTAGGAGGAGGGCAGCCATGGACAATCGGTACGTGAAGGAGCGTTTACTGCATCCCAATAAGACCTCAAGGACACTGACGTCTAAACTTCATACAGTTTTCACATCACAAAATATTAGCCTCTTTTTGATATTTTCCAACCATTTAAAAATATGAAAACGGTGCTTGGCTCATGAACTGTACAAAGGGTAGTCAGATGTGGCCCCAAGGCCACAGTCTGCTGACCCCCGGTCTAAACCAACATATTTTGAACTCTTCAAATTGAACCTATACCTAACTGATACACCCCCGGCAGCTGGGCTGCCAGCAAATGCTCAGAGGATGAAACAGAAAGTGAAACCCACCACCCAGAAATAAATAGGGGCACTTGCTGGGACACAGGGATGAGACGGCTCGCCCTGACAGGATGCCTGGGTGAAGGGGGCTGAAAGACGGCTCTGCAGTCGGCTCCTGAAGAAAAGGTACCAGCCAAGGTAAAAGCGGAGTGGCAAGGGCGGGTGGGAGCTGAGGGAAGTGTGGGCAGAGAGAGCAGTGTGTACAGACGCCAAGGAGCGGGGCGGACCTGAGGTGGCTCCCGGGGGCACACTGCCTGTGCAAAGGGCGTGCTTCCTGCGGGGAGGGCAAGCCCCGGGGGAGCTGGACTCCGCTTAGAGCAGGGAGCAGTGAGCAAAGGATTCCCAGGGAAGCGGTGACGGGACCACATTTGCAATCCTAAACCAACCCCTTCTAAAGCAGTCTGGACAGACGGGAGGTGGGCCTGATGGGAGGCAGGGAAACGCCACCATCCCCAGGACATGGGCCCCGGCTTCCCGCCTGGAAGGAGCTGCTCTGCTCTGCACTCCCCAAGCCTCTGTGAGAGCGGCATTTCCCACCAGACGATCACTGAAAGCAAGGTCCGCTACCCATCTTCGTGCCTGTCTCTTGAACAACATGGTTCATGAGAACAGAAACGATACTGAATTTATCTCTGCACGGCCCCAGTACATCTGGCCTAAGAAACTGCTCATAAATCACTGCTTTTGAACAACGCATCTGATTCTCACTGATCTGGAAGCATACCAGAAACCTAGCCCAAATGAAAGCCCCTGGTTCTAGATGATGGATTCTAGTCTGTGATTGTACGGATAACACCGGTCACGCGCAGGTGGCCATGGCGGGGGGGGTGCCAGGGTGGGCGGCGTGGCTGTCCCAGCAGCCCTCCCGGGCCTGAGGGGCCCCCGGGCAGCAGCCCCGGTGGGCCAGACCCTCACCGGCATGGGGATCTTGGAGAGCTCTTTGCCAATGCAGTTCTTCATGATGCTCCACAGGTTCAGGCTGTAGTTCGGCTTGTATGGTATCCGCGTCCGCTTCTCCTTTTTGGTCTCCTCCAGCTGGTGCTTGTACTAGCACAAACACAAAGCCATTCAGGGACCCGCAAAGAACAGACAATTCAGTATTCCTAAGCCTCCCTTCCCCCATGCTAAAAAAAAAAAAAAGAATCGGAATCTCCTGTTCCACTTTAGTACTTTACAAGCACATCCCTGGAACACACTCGGTCCGCCCCTGCTGATCACCCCAGGTGAGTGTTACCTGCTCATCAAGGCTGATGTCGCTGCTGGCTCCACTGATGTTGCTGCCGGTGCGTCTACACAGGTGGGAAATGGATGAGGATGAGACTAACGAGCAGAACTAGACAGCAGTCCTCGCCACATCTTTACAAAGCAGAACGCTAAGGATACTGCACCAACTTATTCACGAGTGACCGAGAGCCGCCACTGAGAAGAGCGCGTAGGAATAAACGTCTCTGGAGAAGCTGTTCATGTAAAGACAGACACTCTCCCAGGCACTTAGGGCAGAGTCCAGGCCTTGGGAACAACTAGGATGTTCCCACGGAAACATTTCCAGCCTTTTGATGGCCGGGCAGGGGGGAGGGCAGTCAAGCCTAACTCACTTGTGGCCCAAGTTCTCGGGCACGGTGATGATCTCAGGGGCGTCAAAAAACTCGTTCTCGTCATCCTCATCACTCAGGTCGCCTTTGCCGGAGCAGCACTGATCTGCCAGGAGAGGACAAGCCTCGTTTGTTCACTTTGCTACATTTGTCAAACCCGGCAAGGCAGGCCTTCCAAACAAACCACACACAGGAACAGGCAGAAAGCAGCAGGAGAGGCAGGAGACACGGAGGGCTGAATTCCACCTTGGGTGAGGCACTGCCTGCAGAGACTCGGGGCTCCGCCGGCCGCCGCGCAAGCCCCCCAGCGGGCCCCCGGGCCCCCCACCTTTGCCGGCGCCGGCGCCGGGCGCGCCCGCAGGCAGCACGGTGGCGCCCCGGAAGGCCCGCTCCAGGTGGTTGTGCTGCTTCGCCAGCTGCTCCAGGGTCTCCTCCAGGCGGATGCGCTGGTCCCTCTCGTACTGCAGGGACTTCTGCCACTTCTTACTGTGGGTCTGGGCCAGCACGAGGAAGTCTCTGCAGGCCTGTATGGAGACAGAGTGGACGGGGGTCCCCTCACCTTGACCGCTCAGAGTCCCCCCAGGCCTCCGAAAGCCCACCGAGGAAGCTCACTCCGCGGACCCGAGCCAGCGAAGTGCAGTGAAAGGCCTTCGCTGTCACGGCACAGCGTCAGGGACAGCCAGCTCCGTGACACAACCAAGGTCAACCCCAGAAAAACAGACAGAGAACCCCGAGTGCGGTTGTCACAGTTAGTATTTTCCTGGTCATGAGGACCACACGGAAGCCAGCTAAGCAGCAAACCTAGACCAAGGTTTGTGGCAGCCACGGGGGCTGCTGACCGGGAGGGGAGAGAAAGCCTGGGGCGCCGTGTGTGGCTTCTGACCCATTCCCGACCACACTCAAGCTGCCAACAGCGGAGGAACGCAACGCTGACGGCGGCCGAGTCTGCACCGCGTCAGACCAGACACCGGAAACATCCTTGGCTTCTATCTCGGTCACTAAGAGAACGACCGACCTCAAAAGCCAACGCCTATCTGAGGGGTCAGAGAAGAGACAGAACACAAACCTGACCTGCTCAGTCCCGCCCCAGGCTCCACGTGGGTCAGACCCAGGCCTGACCGCTGGCTGTGGACACACAGGGCCCCGCCCCCGCCACGGAGCCCCCCAGAGCGGCGCACCCTTCTCAGACACACAGATTTCCGCCGGTGCTGTTCCCTTGGCCCAGAATGCCCTCCACCCGCTTCCTCTACTTGGCCAAGAGCTCCTCATTCTTTGAGATCTGTGGCAAATGTTACTTCTCTGGGACACCCCCCACCCCCACCCCCAAAGGAGCCAGGCTCTCCTCTGCACATATTTCTCTTTCTCAGCATCCACAGCAGGATCGCGACTTTCTCTCCAGACGGATCATGAGTGACTTGAAGATACCATTTACAGCTTATTCACATACTTATCTCCAGCTCCTAACTTGGCTGCTTTGTACACAGCGGAAGTCTATAAAGTTTACTTAATAAATAAATGGAGGAAGAAAGCAATGGAAGCTTAAAAGTCCAGACAATGTTAAAGAGAAACTAAAAGGTAAATAGAGTATCTGCTCCCATGGTTTCAACCCTGACCTATGGACTACACAGCCTGTGGAGTCAGGAATTCCAGCTCTGTGCTCGGGGAGCCGCAGATCAGACTACCCAACTGCCTATCCAACAGCTCAAAGTAACCTCAAACTCAGCGTCCCCCTGCCCAACTCGCCACGCTCCCTTTCCACTCACATCTCCACCCAAGGACAGTGGCAGGCCCTCCACCTGCCTGAGCGGAGAAGGAAGGCACTTCCTGGATTCTGAGCCAGCCTTCCTCCCTCCCCACGTCCAACAATCAGAACCTATGGACTGTTCTTTGACATTGTTGCCATCTTTACACTTCTTTCCAAACTCTGTACTCCAGGCGGCACAGACAGCATACCCTGGGTCATCACAGCTCCATCCCACTGTCTAGCTGGACTTTTAGCAAGTTATTGAACCGAGAGGCTCCTCACCGTCCTCATCTGTGAAACAAGCATGACAACTGCAGCGCTCTCACAGCGTTGCTAACGCAACAGGTAAAGCTCTCAGAAAGACCCGGCTCCGAGTCATCACTCAACAACGTGTCTGCAACTACAGTTAGGCCTGCACCAAAGTCAGTCTTGTCCCCTCCTAACCGACTCCCCCCAAGCCCAAGTAGGATCTGCATGCACAGCATGCCTGGCACCTGAGCGCCTCTCCAGCCTTCTCTCAGCTCCTTCCTCCACCAGAGCGGCTCCCAGATCCTGCGGGGCAGAGATGCGCCCCGCCCCCCCAACCACACCTGGACAGGCTCCTGCCCCACATCCCCTGAGACCAGCAAGAGGCGACAACATGCCAGGAACTGTGCCCATCTCTCCACGCCCATGAGCTCATGAAAGCCTTTCCACACCCCAAGAGCAGGACCATCGCCACTTACAGAAAGGGAACTGGGGTCACAGAGGAAGGAGCCCCCCAGGCTACAGAGACGGTTAACTGGGGTCACTGGACTCCACGGCCCCGAACCAGGGGCGCCTTTGTTTTCACAGGAAGACCCTCTCAGGTCTTCCAGAGTCTAGTTGAGGTGTTACCTTCTGAAATCCTCCCAGTCTGAGCTGGGCCCCGAAGGGTTACAGCGCAGCAGCCTGTGCCCATGTCTCTTGGGGCGCCAAGCACACTCCATAATTGTCTGTTCACCTCTCGGCCCCTAATCGGAGAGCAATCTCCCCAAGGGCAGGCACCACGGCCACATCCCTTAGTGCTGTGCGCAGAACACAGAAGGCGCTCACTCTGTGTGCGCTGAATTAGTGAGTGCATACACTAACACAGTCTCCAATTCACTCGCCTGCTTAGCGACTGGCTCTGGTAGCAAGGAAAGCTGTATCCTAGGCGAGCAGGCAGCCGAGTGAAACTTACGCACTCCTTTGCGTTGACACTGCCTGTTTTGAGATGTGATGTGCTACACAGCACTTTTCAGGCCTTGCCATTATCCCCGAGGAAACAACACATGGGTAAAAAAATGCCTTTCCAACAATAACTGGCTACAAAAGGGGCAGAGGCCGTGCACGCTGGAGAAGAGCGTGAGAGAGGACACAAGCTCCGGACGCCGAGAGCTTGGGAACAAAGACAAGCATGTCTTCAAGGGAAAGGTCCAAAATAAAGTTTCAGTTTTGTGAGACATTTTTAAAGCAAGAGGTGTTTTATGCAGCAAATATCTATCATAGTAGGAAAAAAAACTGTCATGGGAGCAGACTTGGATAAAAGGTAACAGACGATTGTTTCCCGAGCTGTTCTATTTCATGCATGTATTTATGTACTATTGATTAAATGACCTGTATGATTTATGAGTTTTCCTGATCAGAGGAGGACGAGAAAAACAGGCACCAAGAAGTGGAAGAGTCTGGAAAGAGCACAGGACCAGGCGTCAGAGACACAGGCGCCCGTGCCGGGGTGCAGAACGCGGGCTGATGCTGCTGAGACTGATCTGCCCCCAACCCTTCAGTGGACAGAGTAACTTCTCTCCCCAACTCTGTGTGAGTTGGAGCACGGAAGAGTGCTCGGTGCCTCAGAACAGGGCACAAAAATAAAGTCACCACAACTTTCTATTCAGGGGTTTTAAATGCAGGAAAGTAAAATTTCGCTTGGTCAAAGGAAAAGACTTTTGATCTCTGAGAGCTGCACAAACTAAACCAGTTCTAAACAGAAGCCTCGTTGTCACTTCTTCAATAAGGGGCAAAATCTGACCCTACTGAAGGTAGTGTGAAAGTTGCTTAATTGTGTCCAGGTCTTTCTGACTGCATGGACTGAGTCCATGGAGATCCCCAGGCCAGAACACTGGAGTGGGCTGCCACGCCCTCCTCCAGATCTTTCAAACCCAGGGATCGAACCCACGTCTCCCGCATTGCAAGCAGATTCTTTACCAGCTGAGCCACAAGGGAAGCCCAAGAACACTGGAGTGGGAAGCCTTTCCCTTCTCCAGGGGATCTTCCCCAGCCAGGAATCAACCCGGGGTCTCCTACAACTGCAGGCGGATCCTTTACCAACCAAGCTATCGGGAAGCGTTACGTTCCTGCCATTTAATTAGACAGGAAAACAAAGCACCACCTATGTAAGCCCTTTCTCACAGAGCTGACTTCTCACGGGCCTTGAGAACCATGCTCCTTGTGCCCCTACCTGGAAGGTGACTAAAATCACCTGCCGGGTGCGGACAGGTCTCCAGCAGGGAAACGCGGCAGTTTACAAACCGCACTCACTCTGCACCCGGCCCACATCGCCAGTGCCAGTACACTTTGGGCTTACTGGGAGCCCTGCCCTCCAGGCGGCTGACGGGCCCCTCAGACCCACGAGCCGCAGGGGGCAGAAGCACTGGCCCCTTCTTTCGAAAAGCAAAGTGCTCAAGGTTGAGTGTGTCGTCTTATCACCCAGAAGTGTGTTCAAGTGTTAGCCGCTCAGTCGTGTCTGACAATTTGCAATCCCATGGGCTGTAGCCTGCCAGGCTCCTCTGTCCATGGGATTCTCCAGGCAAGAATACTGGAGTGGGCTGCCATTTCCTTCTCCAGGGATCTTCCCGACCCAGGGGTCAAACCCGCGTCTCCTGCACTGCAGGCGTTCTTTACCGTCTGAGCACCAGGGAAGCTCCATCACCCAGAGCTCTCTCAAAGACCAAAGGGGAGACTCACCCAACTCCAAGGCTTTCAGTACTACTTGACCCGGCCCCCCACTTACCACTGCAGGCCAGCACGCACTAGCAAAGCAGGGGTCAGACTCCAACGGAAATCTCAAAGAACTAAAAGGTGGAAAGGACCCATGAAGATCTTTCAGTCCCAACAGACAGTTAAGAAAAATAGATAAGGAGGGAGGGAGGGAGGCAGGAAGAGACAGAAAGAATGAAAGAAAAAGAGAGAGAAAAAAAGAGTTGCAACCCCGAAGGTGAAGGACTCAGCATCGCCATCAGAGGCCCTGCTGGGGCAGAAGCCGGGCTGGGCAGCACCCTCCTGATCACTCGAGCAGGGCGTGGAGGGTCATTCTTTTCCTGCACCCTATTCAGTTTCACGCAACAGACACTGCAACTCAAATCCCTTGAACAGGGACGCAGGACCTATGGTCTAAGCTTTGCCAATCACAGCCTTTCCCGTCCCGCGGGAGGGGCGTGGCCCTTTTCCAGCACGCCGGGGGAGCGGCCTTTCCCGCGGGCGCTCACGTTGATCATGGCGTTGGACGTGATCCTGAAGAGCGTGGCGCGCTCGTTGACCTGCTTGATCTTCTCGCTGCTCTCGGCCGGCAGCCGCAGGGCCTCCAGCTCGCTGAGCGAGCGCTGCAGCGCCGTGCCGTGCTTGGCGATCAGGTCGTTGCAGGTGCTGAGGTCCTCCACCTTGCTGGACAGGGTCCGCAGGGTGTTCTGCAGCTCCGTCTTGTCGGTCTGGGAGACGGACTCTTCGTCTCCTGACTCATCTGTGGGGCGAGAAGGGGAGCGGTAGAACTCCGGGCCCAGGGCCGAGAGCCGGAACCCTCCCGCTACGCTGCGAGCGGACCCGCGCCCTCAGCCTGCGCAGTGACTGGCCGGGTTCGCCGCCGCCAGGCGATCCCCCCACGCGGGTCCTCGGCCCGCGGCGGCAGGTGCCTGGGGCAGACCACCATGGGCGCTTCTCCTGCTACTGCTTTTCTCATTTTATTGAGACGTAATTGGCGTGTGATGCTGTTGTAAGTTTCAGGTGTACACCACGTACGTCTTGCATCTATCGGGAAATGATTAAAGTAACTAACTTCCGTCACCTCACACAGACACAAAAGGAAGGCTTTTCCCTGTGATGAGACTTTCAGGATTTGCTCTCTTGGCAACTTTCAAACACACCACACAGCAGAGCTCACCACAGCCACGTGCTGTCCACGACATCCCTAGTACTTACTTGCCTTCTAACTGGAGGCCGGCATCTTTGGGCCACCCTCATCCAATCCCCTCACAGCCCACTCAGGGTTCTTCCTAAAGGTGCAGAATCTCCGGTCCCACCCCGAGAAAAGCTTTGATCTCGCTGGTGTGAGCCAAGGTCCAGGAACCTGCATTTCGAATAAGCTGTCTGGGTAAGTCTGATGCACACTAAAGTCTGTGAACAGGTGACCAAGAGGTTAAGGTGGAGAAACTAAATGGCTCTTACGGTTGGGAATGAATTATTGAGCCTTTAACCCTAGCGTGAGGGTCCCAAAACAGTCAATCTGACTATGAGTGCCAATCCACAATCATCTGTTGGGTGGTCAGCAGGCCCCTGTATGTCCTGCAGCCCAGCCCTCTGTAAACCACTCTCACATCATCAAAAGACACATAATTCCTCTTTCCTATGAGAGAACTCAGGAACTTCACAATGAATTCATCTGACACTGAAGTCACCGCTGCACTGGAAGCCATGCAAGGCCTTCTGTTAAACGCCTCCTAAACAAGGCACGGAGGGGCTGTGCCTGCCTCTCGCTGGCAGTTTTGTCCTTAACGATGTGTAACTGCAGAGTTCTTTTCTAGCCATGTCGCTTCCTTTGGGGGAGCTAAAATCAGCACTAAAATCGAAACAAAAGAAACAAGGAAAGACCTGCCCCATCTGTATCTGCCAGACAAAGGGGCAGGGCTGGAGTCAGAATGTAACCTGTGACCCGGAGGTTTATAAAGCAGGAAACTTTCCTCTCATTGCTTAAGAGACATTAAACACAGCATGGGGAACCACAAAAGATAAGAAGAACAAGAGATGAACAGAAGTCAGCAGGTGAGCACCGCGGTCAGCTCTAAGCGAACAAGCTCAGTATGATAAAACTACCATTTTCCTTTAAGAAAAATCAAAACATAAGCAGGCTATGCTCTTTAGTGAGACTATGGTAGCAAAATTAAGATTTTTCACAGAAAATATCACAAGTAATTTTTTCCCATGTATCTCAGGCATGAAACAGCTCTGGTCGCCGACCCAGGAGTCAGGCAGAGATGAGGGATGGCTGGAGCCCTTCTGCCCCTACCGCCATGAGAGCAACCCCTCCATCAGGGATCTCTGCCCACTGCCAGGGGGTTCACACATCATGCTTTTGGCAGTCTATGGAGATTGCTGGTTTCAATTCAACTAAACAAACAGTTAAGTAAGAAGATGTCAGGAGAAAAGGAAACAGTAAGGACAGATCCAAAATGTGAGCTTATCAGTCTGGATCTTATTTATCAATAAAATCAATAAAACTGATTTATCAAATCATCCTTTCTCAAGATTTTAAGGCAGTCGGTGGGCATTAGAAGCCAAGAGGTAACTGCCATGCTTCTAAGACAAGAGTTTCCCAATCTCAACCGTTCTGACATCTGGGGCCAGCCGCCTCTGGCGGGGGCAGGCGGGGGGCTGTCCTGAACGCCGCTGGGAGCTCCAGCCCTGGCCTCTGCTCCCGTGTATCAGGAGCACCACCCCCCTCAGTAGCAACAAGACGTCTCCAGACATCACCAGACGTCCCCTGAGGAGTTAAACTGCCTAGCTGAAAGCCAGCCCTCCAGGAGAGATTCTGCCCGCCGGGCAGCCAGCAGACAGCTGGTAATTAGATGACAGTGGGGGCAAAGGAGGTCTGTGCGGCAGGGGCTCGCCCCACCTGACTCGGCCAGCATCTTCACCGCCTTGGCCTTGGCCAGCTCCAGGGCCGTGACCCAGCGCTGCCGCTCCACCTCCGAGCTCGCCTTCAGGTGGTAGGTCTGCGCGCCCCCATTGGAGATGATGAAATTGCAGGAGTCCTCCACCGTGATGTTGGCCGTGGCGAGGTTGATGGTGCCGCGGCATGTGTGCCTCATCTCCGCCTTCGACCTGCAAGAGCGCAGACAGCTGAGCGGGGGCTCACGCGCGCCTTCCCTCAGCACATCCTACTTCACAGACACAGACGCATGCGTGCCTTCCCTCGGCATACCCTACATCACAGCTCCCAGTCTTTCAAAAGTACCGCAGTCTTAGGAATCAGCAGGTTCCAATATTCTCCTCGCATGGCTCCCTCCAATTAAAAAGCAAATCAGCAGGGACTTCCCTTCTGAGCCTGTAAGTGTTCTGGGTCGGAGTTTACTGCTCCGCTCTTCCCCTCACCCTGAGCTTTGGAAAAACAGGCTTCACTGAAGGCGAACTACAGAGAGCATTAACCCAGCAATTTTAAGTGTACAATTTAGTGAGTTTGGACAAATATAAACAACTGTGCAACCACCTTCACAGTCAAGATGGAGAGCACTTCCATCCCCCCCCAAGAGTCCCCTCAGGCCCCTTTACAGTCAGGAGTTACCTTTCATTTAGCAAGATACAATTATCAAAGGGTGCTTTATAAACTCATGCAACCAAATTCTGCATAATAATCTTATTCTCTAAGAGAAAGAGGGAGTTCTCTGGCAGGCCAACGGTTAAGACACTGTTCCCAGGGCAGGGAGCACGTGGTGTGGCAAAAAAAAAAAGAAGCTAAAAGAACAGCTCCATTTTATAAATATTGAACAATCCACTCCCCCAATCCACTATAACTCAGCCCCAGTGAGAACTGTCATAGCACTCTTAAAACCATCTTGCAGACGTGTAAGGCACACTTAGATGTTTAGAGTATCAAATACTGTGTGTGTGTGCTCAGCCTCTAAGTGGTGTCTGACTCTCTGCGACCACATGGACTGTAGCCCACCAGGCTCCTCTGTCCACGGTATGATCCCCCAGGTAAGAGTACTGGAGTGGGTTGCCATTCCCTTCTTCAGAGGATCGAACCCAACCCAGGGATAGAACCGTGTCTCCCACACTGGCAGGCAGATTCTTTACCACTGAGCCACCAGGGAAGCCATAAAATACAGCTTAAATGATATGAAAGAGGAGTCACTAGCTCTCTGTGGGAGTGAAGAAAGAATATTCATTAAAGGAGCACGGGGTGGTATAATCTTTCATGAATATATTCTTTCCTAAGGTCCACTGACCTCTATTGGTGGGAACTCCTAAGCCACCCTATTAATAGCTAGGAGAAATTCAGCAAATCTCTTCTCAGAGGACCGGGTGTAAAAATTTTCTCCATTGCTACTGACTGACAGTTCTATTAATAGGCTAACTTTTGAACCGTACAGCCCTGCTTGGTGATAACAAGCTACAAGAGACTTGGCATAGAACAGAGCCGCCAGCACAGCCGAGTGTACAGGGCGACCTGCGCTCATTTCCCCGCCACCGGCGGACCTGCCCAGGGGACCTGCATGTTGAGACTGCAGTTTTCCCTGACCAACTTGGAACAGAAAGAGGTCAAAGTCCTTTGCCAGCTGCCAGCGTGCAAAGCAGGGCCGTCTCTCTTTCACAAGTGCCAAGTGGCCAAACACACCTGGCACATCCCAAATTCCTGCATGCCGGAAATGACGACATTCTCTCCATCTCTAGAAACCAAGATTGGGGTAGGTTTGAGAAAGCCTGTTTGCTGTGCTTAGGAAGATAGCTTGGCTATTGTTCGGTTTGTCACATGAAACTGGTTTTTCTTCCTCAGACGCACAGCCCAGAAGCATGGGATGGCCAGTGGGGAGGGCGGGGGTCTCAATAAACCAGGCCGTTTCCCACCTCCCGCACCTGCCAGGCTGTAAGGCGACTCCTGCTTTCTACTCCTCCTCCCCGCCCCCGCCCCACGCTTCAGTTACATTTTGAATAATGCAGGCTGAATTCCCGGCTCACCCTCACTTTCTACTCCAAAGGTGTGACTCGGACCTTCTGCCACATTCCTCACAACACGCTGATCTTTTCCACAGGCTGCTTCCTAGGAATCTCCTCTGCTCAGGTCATGTCCATGAACTAAAAAAGTTTCCCGAATCATACAGTCTATAGTGCTTTTAAAAATACCAGAGGACTCTGGAAGTTTGGGCAGGCTTGACTCTGGAGCTCTTGGCTCAAGCAGATACACCTCTGCTTACAAATGATTAGTGCAGAAGTATTTCAAAAGAACTGCTTTTCAGGGTGCAAGAGAAGTTCTTCAGGCACCACAGTATTAGGTAGTGTTTTCTGATTAGTAAGTTCTTCCTGGAAAAGGCCAGCCAAAATAGTAGCTCCATCTCTAGAAGCTAGCCAAGAAAACTAATACTATGGGCTTGTCATGACCTGTCTGGGAGAGCTGGGATTCTACATATGGTTTTAAGTAACAGGACAGCTGTGTAACTTTGTATATAATGAAGAACAGGATAGGTAAAAAGGCGGCCTGCCAAAGCCTATTAGAACAGTTCATCAGAGGATGGGTTTAGGAAGCACTTGGTTAAAAAGAAACCGTATTTTGTCAAAGGCATATACAGGAGATGGTTTTGGAGGCGTGAAAAGCAGAAGGCAAGACGACTTGGCTAAATGAACCCTAAGAACATGGGGATCCAAAGAACCAGTTTGGAAGAATACCAACTGGTTGATAGAAAGTAGTTAAATGTGATTTTGAGGGTAGCGTGTAGACTTGATAATTCTGAACACTGTTCCTTGGTTGGTTTGTGGGTGGAACTGTCTTGGCTGGCAAGGACAGGCCCGGGGGCACATTTCCCAATACACAGTTTGCTATGTTTGGGAAGGCGTTCTAGCTGTGGTCAGACAGGTACCACTAGCTCTTGTAGGAGAGAAATTAAAAGTGGTTACAAGTACTTAAGAGATAACAACATACACGTTATTACTGTCCAACCAAGATCAATATTGACCAAGACAGGTACTGATTAAAGACTAAACTGGGCTGGAAAGTAGATCTTATTAAAAACTTGAGTCGGAGAAGGCAAGGGTGGGATGTTTCGAGAGAACAGCATCGAAACATGTATATTATCTATGGTGAAACAGATCACCAGCCCAGGTTGGATGCATGAGACAAGTGCTCGGGCCTGGTGCACTGGGAAGACCCAGAGGGATCGGGTAGAGAGGGAGGTGGGAGGAGGGATCGGGATGGGGAACACATGTAAATCCATGGCTGATTCATGTCAATGTATGGCAAAAACCACTACAATATTGTAAAGTAATTAGCCTCCAACTAATAAAAATAAATGAAAAAAAAAACTCGAATGAGGAAAAATGACCACACACTAAGGCTTTCAGCTGATACACAACTACTAAAAAATGGGAAATCAGTGTTAATACTGACTTATAAGCCAAGCTAGGATATGAATCAGTTAACATTAGAATGATGGTCAGTGTAACAGGAAAACATGAACTTGAGCAGGGGAAAAACTTTGGAACAAACAAAAACTTTAGATTTGTGATTTAACCTTAAACTGATTGTCCTGGACAAATAATTAAAAACGATTAAAACGAAAATTAATTCTGAATAATTCAAATGATGCACATAAACGTTCACAATTAATGTCACTTAAGCAGTGAGGATGCACTAAGGCATTTTCTACCATCTTAGAGACCAGGTAAAAATGTGCTCCTACTTCAACAACCTCCAACTCCCATCTTCAGTTCTCCTTCAAAATTCTTTAAGAGTCAAGACAATGAAATTGAGGGAAAAGAGATTCCTTCACCCAAACTGTCCCAGTGGCAAAGCGACTCCTGGCAGAAGGCAAGAAATATAGTCTTAACACTACTCTTTCGGGTCTCAAATAGAATGGTCTTGCCAAAAGCATGTTATGTTATGGCAAGACTGTGAGTCACCACAAACGTGTACTATACGTCCCAACACAAGCGCTGCTAAACAGGAGTCAAACAAAAGACATGGACTCTACTTTTGAGGAAACTTGAACCGAACTAACCGGCTGGCCCCCAGCAATCCTGGCTGGAACACTTAAGGATCTTCCTTGGGAGGGCGCGGGAGCTGACAAAACTACCAGAAACCTTGGAGGGCGCGTCTCCGTTGTGGGCTGTGCAAAGGCGAGAGTTGAGGCGAATCTTGAGGAGATAAGGACTGGGGACAGACCCCGAGGCCACCCTATGCGTGGCGTCCTTGTGCCTGAACGTGGAGGGAGCAACGGCGGGAACATCAAGGGCCGCTGATAACCCTGAATTCTGGAGCCGGGGCACAGACAACCAAGCCTCGGGACTCTTGACAGCAAGTTCCAGGGGAGCGGTGCCAGGGTTCTGCCCCCGTAAGCACCGACACCGGCGCCCTCCCTGCGGACTCCTCACTGCACCGAGGCGCTGCTGGGGTCACAACGCAAGAGGAGACGCGATGCTCCCGGAGCAACTGGCGGGGCCGGGGGCCGGGGGATGCCGAGGGCGGGGCACGCGGGCGGCGCCGTACGTCCCGGCGCGCCCACTCTCGCGAGGGTGGGCTTGTGTCGCGGGCGGCGGGGGGGACGCGCCCCGGAAGCAGTTACCTGTAGTAGCTGAGGAGCCCGTTGCTCAGCACGAACCACCGCCGCTGGTAGCCTTTGATGTAATTGGTCCATTTGAAGAGCCAGCCCTCGCGAGCCGAGCCCGAGCCCGAGCCCCCGGCGCCCGAGCCCCCCGCCGGCGGCGCGACGCCGCCGCCCGGGGCCGCCATGGTGGCCGGGCCCGGGCCCAGCGCTCCTCTGAGCTCCGTCGCCGCCATGAGCCGCCGCCGCCCGCTGATACACGACCGGAACCGCCTACGAGAGCCGCCGTCGCCGCCTGGAGGGCCCCACTCGGCGAGCGCCTCAGCCGCCGCCGCGCAGCGTCCCCGCCCCGCCAGGCCGGCCGCGGGGAGGAAGAAAGTCGATTGGTGCCGCCGAGTGTCACTTGCGGAGGGCCCCTAGGACATTGGCATTTCTCTGGGGCCTGTCATGCCGCAGCGCCCAGTGAGCGTCCGAGGAGGGACGCTTCCGCCAGGCCCTCCGCTGATTGGTGCAGTTGAAGGCCAATCAGACTCAGGTCAAGCTCATTGGCGCTTTCCCGAAGTCTCCGGCGCTCAGGGAGGACTCGAGAATACAGACCGCCCAGCCTGTGTGGCTGTCGATTGGCCAATATTTCTGCCACTCATTCAGTTTGTGCATTCGTCACCGCCACGTCACCTCCTCCCATCAGTCGTCTCCGCGGCCCTCTTCCGCACTGACGGATTGGTGGTTGATATCAGCTGCTCAACTTTACTACCATTCACTGAACGAGTTGAGGGAAAGGGGGCGGAGTCTACGCTTCACATCTTCACTCTCATTTATTATTGGTCGGAGTGGATGTCACAAGTCTGCGAAGAGCCGGGGCGGTGATTGGAGATGATTGGCTCCTGGAATTGTCTGTGAACGCTGGAGCGTGACACTTCTGGCCAATGAAGGAGACCAATTGAGAGGGGGCGGGGCAGGCCAGGGCAACCAATAAAACCCGGGAAGAGCAATTCGGGGGCGTGCCCGCCTGCTTCCGCCTTTGGGGAAGTTTGCGAGTGGCGAAAGACCGTCGGTTTCTCTAACGCGTGATTTGATGCTGTGTGTCAGTGTTGGAGTAGCTCTTTCTTAGTTAAGATCGTCAGTTTGTTGGGAAGAGTGTTTCTGCGTAGTCGGCCTTTGCCTGAGTTTTCCCCTGCGAGTTGGAGGCCCTACTTCCTGGGGACCCCAGAAATGGCTTCCCAGTGTCCTACAGAATCCACCATCCTAACTCCCTTTCATGGTTTGCTCATCATAGTACCACACACCTTATCTCTTGATTCTAGACTGTCATATGCTTCTCCTGATTTTTGTCCCACGAGTTGCTGACCTAGCTGTGAGCGTAAGTGGACTTGGGAGGACCTGACTTTATTTGTACTTGGACCCATGTCTCCAACAGTCCTAAAGGCCCTTGTTGGTTTTAGCATCATAAGCGCACGTGTGTGTGCTTAACTTTGCACGCAATATTTTAGATACACTGATTTTTTTCACACATCTGTGAAAGTCACAACTTGAGTAACTCATTTAACGTTTAGATGTCGTGAACTATTGTTAACAAATGGAGCTATTCGGGAACCTGGTATCTCTTATATTTTGCGAGTTTTGCTGGACAATAGCAATAGCTGCTGGATGGAAAACAAATCGCTTTTTCTTGGCAGTGTGCTTCATAGTATCAGGAAAATAAAAATATCCTTTTTTAGAAAACGTTTTTAAGAGAAGAGACATTTATTGAATTCTGGAGATAAAATGCACTTTGAAAATCTGCAGTTAGATGTAGGTTAGAGGATTGTTTTAACTCAACTAAAGTGAACCCCTTTATGCTTGAGTCATACCTTTAGTGGCCCTCTGACTGGGAAAGTTACTTAAGCATTCCCAGCCTCAGTTTTCATTTCTGTTAAAAAGGAATAAAACCGTATAGGGATGTTGTTCTGATTAAATGCATAGATGAACATGTTTGATAAACTAAACAGCTAGAAAATGTAAGTTGTATTGCCGAATACATCCGTCTGTTTATTTGCCAACCACAAAGGAGAAACACATACTTTTACACTGAGGACAATCTGGCTGTCCCCACCTTAACCCAGTTAACCAACTGGGTTATCATTAACCCTGGGACAGCCAACATTTTTTATGAGGTCCCTTGTCTGCTGCTTTAAAAGATGCTTGTTCCTTGGAAGAAAAACTATGACCAACGTAGACAGCATATTAAAAAGCAGAGACATTACCATGCCAAAAAAGATCCATCTAGTCAAATCTATGGTTTTTCCAGTAGTCACGTATGGATGTGAGAGTTGGACAGTAAAGAAAGCTGAGCGCTGAAGAATCGATGCTTTTGAACTGTGGTGTTGGAGAAGACTCTTAAGGGTCCCTTCGACTGCAAAGAGATCCAACCAGTCCATCCTAAAGGAAATCAGTTCTGAGTGTTCATTGGAAGGACTGATGTTGAAGCTGAAACTCCAATACTTTGGCCACCTGATGTGAAAAACTGACTCGTTGGAAAAGCCCCTGATGCTGGGAAAGATTGAAGGCAGGAGGAGAAGGGGACAACAGAGGATGAGATGGTTGGATGGCATCACCGACTCGATGGACATGAGTTTGAGTAAACTCTGGGAGTTGGTGATGAACAGGGAGGCCTGGTGTGCTGTAGTCCATGGGGTCACAAAGAGTTGGACACGACTGAGTGACTAAATTGAACTGAACTTGTGTGCTGCAGCATGAAGTATACAGCTCCACTTAATTAAGTTTTCTTGATCCTGAGTCCAGTCAAGCCTTTTTAGATTTATCCTTTGGTTTACAGAGGCTGGAGGAACCAGTTAAACAAAACCCCCCAAGGAGACAATTGAATATATCAAGAATGTGAGAGTCTATAAGACAACTGATTTTACAGAAGATAAGATAGAAAGATTAAGGAAAAGTGATATAGTAACAGAGTCACGTGGTGATTGTTGTAAATTAAAAAAAGAAAAAAGAATGTTTTTAAAAAAGACCTCCCCAACAAATGCTTGACTTTATTTTGATTCTGAAACAAAACAAAACAAAAACAAAAAACTGTTCTTGTAGACATCTGAGGATAACTGGGGAAATTTGAAAATGGACTGGTATTAGATGATGTTAGGCAATTATTGCATTTGTTCAATGTAATACTGTATGATGGCTATGAATGAAAGAATCTTAAGACTCTGGAGAAATGTCACCCTCTTCAATAAATGGTTTTGGGGAACATGGCTAAACTACCTGCTAAAGAATCAAATTGGACTACTACTACAAACTCTCACACCATATTACAAAAGAAGTTCAAAGTGGATCAAAGACTTGAGTGTAGGGCCTGAAACCATAAAACTTCTAAAAGGAAGCTTAGGCAGTATGCTCTCTGACATAAGTCTTAGCAATATTTTGGAAGGTACGTCTCCTCAGGCAAGGGAAAAAAAATATAAGCAAATGGGGCCTACTTGAACTTAAAAGCTTTTGTACAGCAAAGAAAACTGTCAACAAAATGAAAAGACAGATTACTGAATGGGAGAAGATATTTGCAAACTATATTTGATAAGATATTAATATCTAAAATATACATAGGACTCCTACAACTCAACTTCAAAAAACCAAACAACCCAATTTAAAAATGGGCAGAGGCTCTGAATAGACTTTTTCCCGAAAAGACTTACAGCTGGGCACCAGACATGTAAAAAAGATGCTCAATATCATCTTTTCCCCTGATGACCCCTAATCATCAGGGAAAGGCGAATCAAAACCCCAGTGTTTTATCACCTCACACTGTCAGAATGGCTATTATTTTAAAAAATATTTAACAAGTAGCGAGTATTGGCAGAGGTGTGGAGAAAAGGGACCCTTTGTGCACTGTTGGTGGGAACGTGAGTTGGTACGGCCATGACGGAAAACAATACAGGGGTTCCTCCAAAACTAGAAGTGGAACAGCCCCATTCGATCCAGCAGTCCCACTTCTGGATATTTATCTGAAGAAAATGAAAATGCTAATTCAAAAAAGGTAATCTGCAGCCTCATGTTCACTGCAGCATTGCTTACGATAGCCAAGACATGGCAACAGCCTAGGGATGCACTGAGAGATGAATGGGTAAAGAAAATGTAGAATATTACTAAACCATAAAAAGGATGGGGTTTTGCAACATGGATGGACCCTGAGGGAGCTCTGCTTACTGAAGTAAGTGGAGAAAGACATGAAGGTATGTTATCACTTGTGGAATCTAAAAAAGTGAACAAACATATAACTAAACAGAAACAGAGTGGCAGATACAAAAAACGAACAGGTGATCCTCAGAGGGGAGGCAGGTGGGGGAAGGAGAGGAATTAACTGGGAAGTTAAGAGGTTCACGCTTCCAGTTGCAAAAGTATGAAATGTAGATTGTGGGGAATAGAGTCATTATGTAATATCTTTGTATTGTGACAGATGGTAACTAGACATTCTGTGGCAAACATTTTGAAATCTATAGAAGTATCAAATCTCTATCTTGTGTAACAGGAACTAGCAGTGTTGTAGGTCTATTATACTTGAAGAACAAATTCATAGAAAAGGAGATCACATTTGTGGTAGGGGGCAGCGGCAGGGGGCCGAGAGGAGTAGGGTGAAGGTAGCCAATGGTTACAAGCATTCAGTTACAAGACTAATAAGTCCTAGAAACTGTAATGTACAACTAATACTGCTCTACCTTATGTATAAAAGTTAAGAGAGGAACTCCTCTAAGAGTGCTCATCACAGGAAAAAAGAATTGTTCTATTTCTTATGTATCTACGAGATGACAGATATGAACTAAACTTGTAGTCATCATTTCATGATGTATGTAAGTTGAATCATTGTGCTGGATACCTTAAACTTACACAGTGCTGTATATTAATTAGATCTCAGTAAAACTGAACAAAAAGAAACAGATTTTGGAGAAGTCTTAGGAATCTGTAAATTTCTTCTAAAATGGTCAGAACAGGAAAGAAAGAAAGCCCCCCTCCCAAAGTAATACAAACTTTGATATGCACACACACACACACACATTTACATGTGTGTATCTGTGTATCTGACATGACTGAAGCAACTTAGCATAGCACATCTATATACCTGTACATAATAAAAGCAGACTGTTACCACTGTTCAGTCACCGAGTCGTGTCCGACTCTCTCAGACCCCATGGACTGCAGCACACCAGGCTCCTCAGTCCTCCACTGTTTCCCAGAATTTGCCTAGACTCACTCCAGTGAGTCAGTAATGCTATCTAACCATCTCATCCTCTGCTCCCTCCTTCTCCTTTGGCTTTCAGTCTTTCCCAGCATCGGATCTTTTCCTCTTCGCGTCAGGTGGGCCAAAGCATTGGGAGTTTCAGCTTCAGCATCATTCCTTCCGATGAATATTCAGGGTTGGTTTCCTTTATAAAGGCAAGTAGACAGAGGCTGGGCTTCCCCAGTGGGTCAGCAGTACAGAATCCGCCTGTAATGCAGGAGCCCCAGGAGAAGCGGGTTCGATCCCCTGAAGGAGGGCACGGCAACCCACTGCATTATGCTTGCCTGGGAAGTCCCAGGCACAGAGGGTCTGGCAGGCTACAGTTCATAGGGTTGCAGAGTCGGATACAACTCACATGCACGCAGACACGTTAATGGTTGAATGCTGGTGAGAAGTACACAGGTATTTATTGTACTATTATTCCTACTTCTGTCGTATATCTGAAAACACTTCCTTAAAGGTTTTAAAAGGCTGACTTGAGTTAATGTTGTTGCCCACCAATGCTTCCAGCCACCCACACTTCTTTGCCTAAGTGAGGTCTTTGAGCAGCTGGTGTCCCTTCCTTTCTAGCCGCTCCGCCTCTCTTGCCCTGAGCACTCCGCACTCCAGTTGCGTTGATCCCTGCGTCTGCACCACCTTTGCGCTCTCCTTTCCCTCGTCCACAGAGTCTGCTCTGAGGTCTCTGCCCAGAAGAGCGCTGCTTCCTTGGGACTCGGGATGTCCTGTGATGCTCGCTGTCTTGCTTTGTAGCTAGCTGTGTTCCTACCACGTCACCCCTCCTCGGGGTAAGATCCCCCAGTGTGTGATCTGTATCTCTTTCATCTCTGGTTCCCTCATGACAGCCCACAGCCTGTTACCAAGTGGGTGAGAGGTCTGGCTGCTTGCCGAACAAAAGCCAATAAATAGGCCAGGCTGGTGGAAAGGGAAGTTTGCTTTATTTCAGATGCCAGAAACTGGGGCTGCGGGGAGGGTGGTGGACAGCTGTCCAGAGGCTGACTCCCCACCCCTTGACCCTACAAGCCGGGAGTGAGAGCTTTTATAGACAGAGTAGGGGGTGGGCGTGCTACGTGCAGAAACAGCACAGTCAGCTTCAGATTGCTTATTGGTGGTCTGACCAGCATCATCTTTGTTGTTTTAGGTACAGATAATCATTAGTTCCAGTCCATTTATTCCTATACTTTTTGAGGCCAGTTCTCAGAATTCTGGCCACTCATGTCCTGGATACAGTCCGGTCATTAGTGTAGTTCTCCACCTGGTGTTTCAGTGTCAACAAGAGAGACAGGATATGGCTCTGAACATGATCTGTAGCCCGTGAGAAAGAACTAAAGTCCTTGACTTTGCTTACCGACTGCATTGTTATTCTTGAGTCTCCTTTGACTGTTTCCCTTTGTTTTCACATCTTTCTCTTCTCTGATGAAACATATTCATAAGGTTTTCCATAGACAAAAGGCATGGTGGAGGGGAGGCAAGGACCATAGAATCCTGCCCTGTCTCAAGCCCAGCATGTTTACTCATTTCACAAATATGAATTGAGCATCTCTCATATAATCCTCAGGCTTTTTCAAGTGTTGGAGGCACAGTAATGAATGTATGGATACGCTGTAGTTCCTCATGGAATGTAAAGGACAGGCAGATATTAAACCAGAAGCATACAGATGAGTATATACAGTATCTGCATGGGCTTCCCAGGTGGGGCAGTGGTCAAGAATCTGCCTGCCAATGCAGGAGATACAAGAGATGGGGACTACACCCCTGGGTCAAGAAGATCCCCTGAGGAGGAAATGGCAAGCTGCTCCAGTATTCCTGGCCTGGAAAATTCCACGGACAGAGCCACCTGGCGGGCTGCAGTCCATGGGGTTGCAAAGAGTCGGCCGTGACTGCATGCACACACACACACTCGCACAGAGAAAATGTGGACGGCTGCAGTATACTTGGAGTGACCCGGAGGACCGCCGGGGCGCCGTGAGAGGACGGCAGGCGCAC